AAAAACAAAACAAAACAAAAAAACAGTACTAATCAAAGTAAGTAAAGGATTTTTCAAATCTAAATATTTAGTCTCACAATTCTAGACCAAAAAAGTAAGGAGGGGGGAAGTTACCTTTTCAGTTCATGTCTTCTTTTTACATTACAGTTCACAACGTCTATACAATCTGATTTCTGGAGGAGAAAAAAATCTATCATTAAAGAAATATAAGTTGTGCAATGGCACTACAGTTACAGGGGAAAGAGACTGGGAGACAATTTTTTCCCATGACTATGTGGTAGTGAATTGGCTGACACAATGGTTTAATTAATCCTTCCAAGAAACTTGTGAAATGGACATTGGTATCATCCCCACTTTACAGATAAAGTGTGTAAGGCTCAAGCAAATTATCTTCTGCAATGTCACAGGGCAGGGCAGCAGCAGAGCCATGACTTGAAACCAGATCAGTCGACTCTCTCTTCTGCCACCCTGTCTAAGTACTTTGATGAAACAGGGCTTGATACAAGAAAAATAAGAGAGAAACAGAATATAGTCCCTTTCCGAAAGAGCTTATATCAGGGGTCCTCAAACTACGGCCCGCGGGCCACATGCAAACACAAATAATTGTATTTGTTCCCGTTTTGTTTTTTTACTTCAAAATAAGATCTGTGCGGTGTGCATAGGAATTTGTTCATAGTTTTTTTTTTTAACTATAGTCCAGCCCTTCAACGATCTGAGGGACAGTGAACTGGCCCCCTGTTTAAAAAGTTTGAGGACCCCTGGCTTATATAGTAAAACAATAAAGAGAAGTACAAATAGCCTAATGTAAGGATACAATTAAGCATTAAAGCAGAAAAGGAGACAATAAGTTGTAAAGTGTTTAAAACATCAACCACTGCCCTGACCGATTTGACTCAGTGGATAGAGCGTCGGCCTGCAGACTGAAAGGTCCCAGGTTCGATTCTGGTCAAGGGCATGTACCTTGGTTGCAGGCACATCCCCAGTAGGGGGTGTGCATGAGGCAGCTGATCGATGTTTCTCTCTCATCGATGTTTCTAACTCTCTATCCCTCTCCCTTCCTCTCTGTAAAAAATCAATAAAAAAATATATATATTTTTTTAAAACATCAACAACCAAAAGTTAGAACATACCTGGAACAAAAGTGGGCAAAATATATGCTAAAGATTGAATATACATTGAATAGAGACTAATGAGCAAAAGAAAAAGGCATTCTTGGCTAGGAGTACTAGGCATTCTAAAAAGCGAAAGACGATTAGAACAAATTCAGTAGGGACAAAATAAACCAGCCTAGCTAGAAGCAGAAGTTTTGAGGCAGAAGAAAAAAGAAAAATGAAGAGTTAAGGTGTGATCAAATTTAAGAGCGTCCTGAAAGACAAACTAAAAAATGAGTGAAGGTTTTTAACACAGACAAAATATGATGAAATCAGTGTTTTAAGAAGGTTAATATAGTAACAGTAAGTTGAAATAGCAGTTTCATTATATGAAAACAATTTCTTAAAAACACAATTCTGCATTCATGGAACTTTCACTAATTTCTCGTATTACCCACAACTCTGTTGCTATCTTGATATAAACCTAACTTCAACTTGAATGAAGTAAGTACACTTCACCAATCACCCATGCACTAGCTTCACATGTTTAGTCTGCTATCACTACTTCCAATTATTTGTGTGAGGATGGAAAGAACTTTGAACTTGGCTTTGTCACTGGGCACAACAGGTCCTCGAATAACATTGTTTCCTTCATTGCTTTGTTATAACATTGATGAGATGCTGTAGGAACTTAACTGTATTTGTATTAATTAGCTTCATTTGTATCAATTGATATCATTATAAATTGTTTCATTTAAAGTCCCAGAACCTACCAACGACATTGAGAACTTGGCTACTTGCCTTGGCTTCTTCAAAAGGAAATTGTAAAGATAAATACAACCATATATGGGAAAAGACTTAAAAAATGTCTAAATTTATATCCATGTAGTCTAATCCCAAACAATAGGTTCTATCAGCACAAAGAAATAAGGAACTGGATAAATGCTTTTTGGTGAGTAGAAGGAAGAAAAAAAAATCAACCTGGTTTTCTTTCCATTGGCTATCAAAAAGTAAGTATAACACACAGCAAAAAAAAAAAACTAATGAAAAAATAGGGTGAATTTATATTATAAGCCTCCTAAGTGTACATTCAAACTTTAATATAAATAATTTTCGGAGTTATTTATAGTATTTAAACACTCACCAGTTTTCTCTTCTCTGATGAAATTGATCTTACAGAGCAAGATGAGCTAGTAGAACTTGTTGAGGTTTTTTCTTTCTTATCCTAAGAATGGCATTTGGAAAAAAGGAAAGAAAAGCACAAAATAAAGCGCATTATTTCATCACTATTATAAATCAACTTTCTTTCTACATTAATAATAAATTTCAGAGGAGAACAATGTTCAAAGGCACACAAATAGTTAAGAGGAAGGGTAACCCAACTAGAAGGGAGACTCAACCAGAAACAGGAGAGCTAGGTGCTGTAAAACTAGAGATGAGGTAGGATACAAGTGTTACAGCAGAAGGCCATCTGATGGCGCAGGTAAGGGCACTGGGAGGTGCCTCGGCCATGGTGGAACCAGTCTTCTATAAATGAAACCCATATATCCACTTCTTTTTCCCTGGGTACTGATTCAACAGATCCAAGACAAATACATTGTGAGTACCTACCATGTGCAAAAGACGTAGACAGTGGGGACAGAGTAATGAAAAAACTATAAAAGTCCCTGCCCTCCTGGAGGTTAAAATCTAGAGCAGGAGTTTACAAATAACGTATTCAGTGTGTCACACTATGCTATGGGGGATGAGGGAGGAAGCAGAGAAAAGAATCGGGAAATATTGGGAGGTGGGGGCTGAGGGAGCTGCAATTTTAAAGAGTAAAGACCTAAAGAAGAGATGGAACAAACCATGTGATTATGTAGGGTAAGTGTTTTCAGTTCACAGGGAATAGCAGCAGGGGC